CCTCTGTACAGTATGTTCTCAAATAAAATGAAATTTAAAAAAAAAAAAAAAGTAAAAATGCATGGGAAAAGTCATAAGCAAAGTAAAAAGAGAACAAAATGGGGAAAGTAATATCATAGACAAACTTAATTTCATTAACTTTTTAAAAATAAAGAAATAAAACAGTCCTACAGAAAAATAACCACAGATATGAGCAGGTAGTTCATAGAAAAATAAATATAACACTTTTAACCCTACAAAATGATCTCAACTTTGCCCATTATATTAGAAAGGTAAAGTAAAACTATAGTTAAAACACAGCATTTCTTATTAGTTTATAAATACTTTGAAGGTAAAACTAGAGAAATGGCACTTACAAACACTTAATACTTAGTATGCAAAAATGGTACAACTCACCAACTAGAAAACTGACAACAACTAAAAAGATAACTGCATTTAACCTTTAACTTATAGGTTTGACTTCTAAAAATGGTTTGCAAACACTTAACGGCAACAGCCTGAATGAGCTTGAATGTCCATTTTCCCCTAGTCTGAAAAGGAACACATTTTGGCTAACACTCTGGTTTCAGAGTATAAGGTCCTCAACAGAAGACCCAGCTAACCAGTGTCTGGACTTCTGACCTACATAAACTATGAGATAATGAATAGGGTGGCGTTTAAAGCACTATGCTGGCAGAAACTTATTTTAGGCTATAATTAGCAATACAGTGGCCCTGAATAAAGCCTAGAATGGGGGAAAATAGGCTATAAGACTAGAGACAACTAGTTTGGCTCCAGCAACAGGAAGGCAGGAATAGAGACTGAGAACAGCTGATGTTCCTAAGGCAAGCTCTCCGTACTTAATATCCACTGGCAGTATAGGAGAAGTTGGTAAGAAGGAGATAAAGTTTGGTAAGTCCCGGGCAAACTGCACTGCTGACAAAATCAAAGTATATGATCACTGACACTGCAAATTTATCCTCAATAATCTGTAAGTACTTTTGTTTCTTTTACATCATCTCCACTTCTTTTCTAGACACAGACTTAACTAGATGGCTTTGAAAAAGAATGGAGGATAAAACTACCAAAAAGACAGCTCATTATTTGGTACCCATTTCTCCTTGTAAGTTTTTCTTTTATATGTCTATTTCTGCAGATAATTGAGTCCAACTGTGATATCTGAATAGTTTTAAGAAAGTACATTCTGTTTTACTTGCAAAGGGAGGGACTCTTGGCCTCTTCTGTAACACAAGCAAAATGGAAGGAGATGCCAGATGCCCTGCTTATTTCTCTCCAAAAGAAATTCAACTTCAAGTCCAGTCCAATTCCTGTGCCCAGTAGGGAATTGAGAGAGCTCCACAAGTGTTACAAGCATACCACCAAAAACAGAAAGCAAAACTGCAACATCTTTGAATTTAAGATAAGGGGAATAGGAAAACAACAGGAACTGAAGAGTGCCTAGTACAAAGAAAATACTTTCTATCCTACAGTTGTATTGATCCCCGTGACTTTATTCAGGCCCCAGATCAGTAGGACTCATTCTTCGGTAGGTATATCCTCTGAAAAATTTAAAATATCAGATAAATCTTGCTCCAATACAGAACAAAGCAGGTACTATTAAATAGGTGCAGTCCACAATCCTTCAGAGCTCAGTTTGGTCATCTCTTTTCTTATGACTAACACACTTTCTGAACCTGACAATACAATTTATCCATCGTTTCCGCCATAAAAATACCACTGGACTCTGCAGGACCTCTGTGCGTGAGCACTGGGGATGGAAGAGACTGATCCTTCTCCATGATATTCAGTTGAGGCCCTACAAAATCACTTTTCATCTCTCACCTATTACAGTGCTATTATCTATATATTTTTCTAAGGTATTTTTGAATCCATGTTTTTAAAAAGAAATTTGTATTGTCTTTAGTTGTACAAAAAAGATGTCATTTAACAAAGCACTTTATAAATACAATGCCTCTTGATTAATCACTCCTTCAACATTTTCATACCTTTTTTTTTCTTAATTTTGTGGTATATATAAGGAATTCTTGACTGCATTCTCGCCCTTTTCCCCTCTTTATTAATCTGCCCCTCTCCTCTTGGCACCAATCCCCTCTTGTATGTACCTATTTCCTGGTGTTGATTTTGTTGGGTTTTCATCTAGTCTTTCCAAAAGATTTTACTATTTGAAGTCTCCATAGAGTCTATTATACTTCAGTAAGTTCATCTGTAACCACTTGCATCCAACATGTTTACTTACTTTACTTACAGATTCTATCTGCTACATATGAGGAAAAACATGCAATCTTTTTTTTTTTTTTTGGTTGGTCGTGGGGCTTGAACTCTGGGCATGAGCACTGTTCCTGAGCTCAAGGCCAGTGCCCTACCACTTGAACCACAGGGCCACTTCCAGTACAATCTTTATTTCTCTGGATCTATCTGGCTTACTTCACTTAATATAATTTTTTCCAAGTTTTCCCATTTCCTTATGAATGGTACAGTGTCACTCTAATACATGAGTGCAATTCCACTGTGAGTATATACCACATTTTCTTGACCCATTCATCCACTGAGGAGCAATGAACATGGTTGTGCTGGTAGCTTTGCTGTAATCTTATTTGTGTTCTATTGGAAAATGTCCAGGAGTGGGATTGCTGGGTCATAGTGTAGTTTTATGTTTATAGGGTTTTTTTTGTTTTTTTTGGGGGGGGGGATCCGGTCGTGGGGCCTGAACTCTGGGCCTGGGCGCTGTCCCTCAGCACTTCAGCTCAAGGCTAGTGCTCTACCACTTGAGCCACAGCGCCACTTCCAGCTTTTTTTCTTTTTGCTTATGTGGTGCTGAGGAATCGAACCCAGGGCCTCAAGCATGCAAGGCAAGCATTCTACCACTGAGCCACATTCCCAGCCCTGTTCATAGTTTTTTGATGAACTTCCATACTGCTTACTACAGTAGTTAAGGAAGCTTACATTCCCACCAACAGTGTATTAAAGTTTCCTTTTAACAGCAACTTTGCCTGCATTTGTTGTTGTTTTCTTAACAGTGACCATTCTAACTGCAGTGAGGTAGAATCTCAGTGTTTTCATTTGCATTTCCTTTATGGTAAGAGATGATGAGCATTTTCTTTATGTGTCTACTGGACATTGTACTTCACCTCCTGAGAAATCTCTAAATATTAATTGGATTGTTTCTCTAAGGGTTTAATTTTTGAGAATTTAATTTTTTGAACTCTAAGTATATTCTTGACGTTAGGCCCTTGTCTGATGTATAGCTGGTAAAAATCTCCCACTCTGTGGGCTATTTAGCTTAGCTATGCCCTTCGCTGTGCAGAAACTTTTAAGTTTGATGAAATCCCATTTATCAAGCCTTTGTTTTGTTGTGTTCCTGGATTTTTTTTTCTTGGGGAGGGGTTCGGTCACGATGCTTGAACTCTGGGCCTGCACGCTGTCCGTCAGCTCTTCAGCTCAAGGCTAGCGCTCTACCACTTGAGTCACAGTGCGACTTCCAGTATTCTGGTGGTTAACTGGAGACAAGTGTCTCACACACTTTTCTGCCAGGGCTGGTTTTGAACCACAAACCTCAGACCTCAGTCTCCTGAGTAGGATTACAGGTGTGAGTGACCAATGCCTGACTTGTGTTCCTAGATTTTTACTTAGCAAGTTTCGACCTGTACTCAGGAACCCTAGTGTTTCCCCTATCCTTTTTTATAATAGTTTCATGGTTTCAAGTCTTACATTGAGGTCTTTGATTCATTTTGAATTGATGCTGGTGCAAGGTCATATATGAGAATCTAATTCCAGTTTTCTACATGGGGATATCCGGTTTTGCCAGTACCATTTGTTGAGAGTCTGTCTTCCTCCCCATCCTATATTTTGGCTCCCTTATTAAATATTAGATGGGTATAGGTCTGTGGGTTCATTTCTGGTTTTTATTCTGTTCAACTGGTCCATTTTGTGCCAGTACCAAGCTGTTTTCATTACTACAGCTTTGTAATAGAATCCAACACTATTCTGTCCAGTAAGGGTTGCTTTTGCTAGTTGGGATCTTTTTTTTATTCCATATGAATTTTTGGATTGCTTTTTCTATCTCATTGAAAATGTTGTTGGAATTTTGACAAGTATTGTATTGAATTTGTAAGCTGCTTTTGGCAGTATTGCCATTTTCATGATACTAATTCTTCCAATCCAGGAACATGGAAGATCTTTACATTTCCTTAAATGTTTTTCCATTTCCTTTTTGAAATATTTAAAGTTTTCATTATATGGGTCTTCTACATCTTTGGTTAATTCCTAGTTTTTTTGTTTTGTTTTTTTGTTTTTGTTTTTGGGTTTTTTGGGTTTTTTTTTTAGGTTAATGCAGAGGGAGCTGCTTTCCTGACTTTAGTTTCAATCTTCTCATTTTTGAAAAGCTATTTGACAGCTCTGCCTGGCTCTGGAGATGGAGCTGTAAGACTGAAGGCACTGAGTGAAGTGAGAATTTTACTAGAGGAAATGGCTGCCTCTTCATCATCATCCTCAGCTGGTGGGGTCAGCAGAAATTCTGTCACTGGATCTGGTTTCAGTGTCTTAGACCTTGCCCTACCATGGAAAGCCCTTTTCATCTTCCCCAAAGGAGCTGGACATATGTTAGAAGATGGCTCTGAGAGATGCCTCTGTAAGTCTGTATTCAGTTATCAAGTTGTATCCATGCTTAAACAGGTGAAGCATGAGATCAGCAAGTTGCTGGGATGGAAAAACTTGTGGGTTTAGTAGAAGAGCTGGAAGCTGATGAGTGTCGGTTTAAACCCATTGAGCAGCTGCTGGGGTTCACACTGTCTTCATGGTGATGCTGGATGATTACCTCTGGGCACAGCCAGTACAGAGCCAATAAATAACTTACATCTTCCAGAGCCACCCAGAGATCCACAGCTGCATTGCTAAACCACTGATTCCCATCATACTTGGTTTCTCTATAGGGAACAAATACTTGAATATGTAATCATTCAGGGAGTATTTACTCCATTTAGAAAGCATTAAATAGCCTATTACAGAAAACAAAGAGTTGTGGGCTTAAGAGCTATTTATAAAATTACCACAAACCAAACAGGACAGATGCCAGAATTGGCTGGCATGTGTCTTGTCATTCATAGAGTACCTGGAAACCTTCACCACTCAAGTCCAAGTTCAGGATATTTCTTTTCAAACATGAATTCAACTCAGGACTTGTTTAAATGAAGATTTTTTTTTTTTTTTTTTTTGCCTCTCACAGACACAGTTTATTCATGCCATATAAAATACAAGTATAAGTATAGCGATGTTCCATATTCCCATCTAACAAAGCTTGCTTAAACATGCAGGCAGAGTGGTGTTTCAAAGGAGCAGGTTAATGATGGCTGTGAGAAGGCACAGAAGTGGAACTTTTCAAAGCCTTTTTTTTTTTTTTGGTCGGTCGTGGGGCTTAAACTCTGGGCCTGGGTGCTGTCCCTGTGCTCTTCAGCTCAAGGCAAACGCTCTACCGCTTGAACCACATCGTCACTTCCGGTTTGCTAGTGGTTTACTGGAGATGAGAGTCTCACGGACTTTACTGCCCAAGCTGGCTTGGAACCGAGATCCTCAGATCTCAGCCTCCTGTGTAGCTAGGATTACAAGCGTGAGCCATCGGCACCGGGCTCAAAGCCTTATTTCTTTTATCAGCACTCCTGATCTTATACACGATGAAGGCTATCAACCCCATCTCTACCCAGATCTCCTGGTAAACATGGGTGTAGTAGGACCCAGACAGTTTTAATAAAGCTTTGAAGCATCTCGACAGGATGGAGGGCGCAGACCCCAACAGACCCCACAGCCATCCACCAGAAAAGGTCACGAGCTCTAAATGAGGCATTTTTAAATGTCCAACATTTTTCTTGTTTTTAAGACATCTAATTCTATAGATTCTTAACTTTTTCAAACTTCTTCTGGGAATGTTGCTTTTTGAATGTTGGAGCACTTGTAAAAGTAAAGAAGTGAGGGGTATAAGGAAACGCCCACCTCACAGACCTAACCTCCACCCTTGATGGCAGCACCTGAGCAGTAGGTGAGGTACCTCCCACTTCCACCCTGATCTAAAAAGGGTCTTCAGGGAGCCAGGCGGTGCCATTTGCTCCTTTTCCTCATGAGAACTTGGCCTTGTCAGCTCTGCTGGCAATACATCTTTCTTTCTACTTAACTTCTGTCCGCGTGGTCTTTTGGGTTACTTTTCTTTTGGTTACTTCCTACCCAGGTTTACATTTTCTCCTTCAAGGGGGAAAAAAAAAAAAGAAAAGCCACTGATTTTTGTGAGCTTATTTTTTTGTTGTTGTTGCTGGTTGTGGGGCTTGAACTCTAGGCCTGGGCACTGTCCCTCAGCGCTTCAGCAAGTGCTCTACCACTTGGACCACAGCACACTTCTGGTTTTCTGGTGGTTAACTGGGGATGAGTCTCATGGACTTTCCTGCACGGGCTGGCTTTGAACCTCAATCCTCCGATCTCAGCCTCCTGAGTAGCTAGGCGTGAGCCACTGGTGCCCGGCTGGCTCATTTTTTTTTTTTTTTTGAGAAGTTTTGCATCTGTGTTCATCAAGGAGATAGGTCTATAGTTCTCTTTTCTTGATGTGCCCTTATCTGGTTTGGGGATGAGTATAATACTGGCTTCATAGAACGAGTTTGGTAGTGATCCCTTCCATTTATATTTCATTGAGGAGTTTGAGGATGAATCTAAGCTTTTAACCACATGTTTATCACTCACTATGAGAGGTAGATTTTCTTTAAGTTGTCCTAAGTTTAGTTCACTATGAGGTCAAGTAGGTTTGTTAGGTTCTACTGACAACATCTGTTGAGCCAGTATATATCTCTACTATGTTCTACTTATAGGTTTCAGTGTATGTCATGTAGAGAAGTTCAATCCATACTATAATTAAGTAATTTTCCCTACTGGCTTTTTTCTTCCATATCAATGAGTCTAATTCCCTTTCTCCATCCACATAAGAGTAGACATCAGTCATAGTTGAACCAAGATAGCACTCCTCCCCACAGGAAGCTAGTCCTGGATCACCAGTTTAGGTATAACTGTAAGGAAAGTATTTCTCATAAACCAATCTTTGGGAGGACCTGTTTCTGCCAGGAAAGTAATTAATGACGCTATTTATTTTCGATCTCTGTTGCATGGTGAACACATAGGAAACATTTATGAACAACCCACCTTGAACATAACTTGCATTCTCATGCTGAGCAAAAGAAGCAAAGAAATAGCAAGAGTCATTTCTCTAGGTAGAAGATGAAACCACTGAAACTCTCAAAAGGGAAATGAAGAACCAAACAAAATCTTCTTAATGCTTAAAGGTAGTATGATACAGAAGAAATCATTTTTTTACTGATGTACAAACATCTATTGAATATCTGTTATGGCCCAAGCACAACCCTGGAGCTGAAGATACAAATATGAAAAAGACAAACCAAAATCTTTGTCCTCTCAAAGATGGCATTCCAATGTGGAAACAGACAATGAAGTAAAATATACAGCATTAGCCAGCCACTGGCTCACATCTGTAATCCGAGCTACTCAGGAGGCTGAGATCTGAGGATCACAGTTCAAAGCCAGCAGTCTGTGAGACTCATCTCCAATAAACCACAAGAAAACCAGAAGTGGTGCTATGGCTCAAGTGGTAGAGCACTAGCCTTGAGCTGAAGAGCTGACAGTACCCAGACCCGGAGATCAAGTCCCACAACTGACAAAAAAAAAAAAAAAATACACACACACACACACACAAACATACACAGAGCATTAATGCCTAAGTGCTAAGGAGAAAAATCATACAAGTAATGTTGGGGGCTGGGAAGGTGGCTCAGTGGTAGAGGGCTTGTCTTGCATGCATGAGGCCCTGGTTCTATTCCTTAGCACCACATAAGCAGAAAAAACCCAGAAGTGGCCTTACCCCCGTCAGAATGGCCCACATCCTCAAGTCAGCCAATGACAAATGCTGGAGGGGATGCGGAGAAAGAGAAACCCTATTACACTGCTGGTGGGAATGTACACTTATACAACCACTTTGGAAAGCAGTCTGGAGGGTCCTCAGAAAGCTATTGACCTCCCGTATGACCCAGTCATACCACTCCTGGGCATCTATCCTGAACAACAGGAACCAGTATACAAGGACTCATGCACCTCCATGTTTATTGCAGCACTGTTCACAATAGCTAGGATATGGAAACAACACAGATGTCCCACCACAGATGAATGGATCCAAAAATTGTGATATCTATACACAATGGAATATTATGCAGCCATTAAAAAGGACAAAACAATGGCATTTGCAGGGAAATGGATGGAGCTAGAAGAAATCATATTGAGCAGGGTAAGCCAAGTGCAAAGAGACAAACGGCACATGGTCTCCCTGATAAGTGGATGTTAAATCCAAAATGTTAGGTGAGCTGGGAAAGTGGCTCAGTGGTAGAGCGCTCGCCTAGCATGCTTGAGGCCCTGGGTTCGATTCCTCAGCACCACATAAGCAGGAAAAAAAGCCGGAAGTGGCACTGTGGCTCAAGTGGTAGAGTGCTAGCCTTGAGCTGAAGAGCTGAGGGACAGCGCCCAGGCCCAGAGTTCAGGCCCCACGACTGGACCAAAAAAACAAAATGTTAGGTGATACAACAAAATTAACAGGACTTAAGAAACAAAGGACTTCCACTCATCTGGTCAAATCACTACTAAATAACCCCATGCTGCTGATCATATGTATGGTATATATGTGTACACCGGAGGGAAACCAGGAAGATGACACAGAACTAGAGGGAATCACGGAAAAACATACAACAGTGGGACCCATCAGCTGCACTGGACATTGATCAAAATGAACTAAGCAACTCAATGGCAGCGATGGGAGAGAGGAAACAAGTGGGAAAGAGGGAGCATCTGATGCTATGCAAAACAAAAGAAATGTACGTATCACCCAGTGTGGAAGAAATAACTGTATTGCAAAGCTCACAGAACTCATACATGTTACAGACCACGATAGACAATTTGCTCCATGAAAGTTAGAATGTGTTTGTGACTTTAACTAAGCTTCACTATCCCACAATGCTGTAAAATTTGGGAAATTATGTAACCACTTAATCACAATAAAAAATTTGAAAAAATTTTTAAAAAAGACTTATTTCCAATTAACCACCAGAAAACAAGAAGTGGAGCTGTGGCTCAAAGTGGTAGACTACCACTTTGGTAGAGCAAAAATTTAGCACCCAGGCCCTGAGTTTAAAGCTCTACAACCATCACCACCACCACCAAGAACAAAAAAAAAAAAAAACTAAGCAGATGATAATATTGGCATGTTACTATTAACTGAACTGCAGATTCTCTTGTTTTATCAGCTTTTCTATAAAAGTGCTCTTTCTGTTCTAGCCTCTAATTCAGAATGCCTCAATGTCTTTTTCAGATGTCAGGTCTTTTTTGGCCTATGGTAGTTTTCAGCCTTTCTTCATTTATCATGACAATGACAATCTAGTACTGTTATTTGTAGTGTAGCTTTCACTTTGGTTTCATGTTGTTCTCATGTTTAGGTTAGGGTAATTAAGAAGTTAATGTTGCTGAGGTAGTGGTGGTGGTGCCACTGATACTGGAGCTTAAACTCAGGACCTAACACTCTTGGCTTTTTCACTCACAGCTACCACTTGTGTAACACCTCCACTTCTGGTTTTTGCTGGTTAATTGGAGATAAGAGTTTCTCAGTTTTGTCTGTCTCAGTTGGCTCCAAACCATGATTCTCAAATTTCAGCCTCCTGAGTAGCTAAATTATAGGCATGAGCCACCAGAGCCCAGCATGGACATTGTTGTTGTTGTTTTTATTTGGTGCCAGTCCTCACACTTGAACTCAGGGCCTGGGTGTTGTCCCTGAACTCTTTTGCTCAAGGCTAGCTCTCTACCAGACTTAAGCCACAGATCCACTTTCAGCTTTTTTTGGTGACTACTTGAAGATAAGCGTCTTATGAACTTTCCTACCTCAGCTAGGTTTGAACCATGATTCTCAGATTTTAGACTCCTGAGTAACTAGGATTACAGGTGTGAGACACTGGTGCCCAGCCTGATTACTGGTTTTGAGAAATAATGCCACAGAGTTGAAGTGCCCTTGTCTCTCTTCATAACAGAGGACAAATATATCCATATGACAACACTGGTAATGATCCAGGTAGAAATCTGGTAGCTCCTAACTGCTCCTACCTGGATCTATTCTATAGAAGTAAATCACTAAGTCTAGCCCATATTCAAAAAGATATAAACTAAATTTCCTGGAGCAGAGAATATATATATTATTGGATTTCTTCTGTATGAAAGACCTCTTCTCCAATTATTTATTCAATCATTTATTTGTATAAATTTGGACTCATGTAGATGTGTATTATACTTTGGCTTATAATCCAGAGTACTGCTACTGTTTGGATATAGTTTAATAATGTCTCCCAAAGATCCATTGTTGGAAGCTTGGTTCCCAGTGATAATGCTGAGTGGTGATAAGACCTTTAAGATGTGGGGGCCTAATGAGAAGTTACTATATCATTATGCCACTGCCCTCAGAATGACTAAATGTTTTTCTCTTGGGATTCTTGTTAGTTCCTTCAAGATGGTTATTATAAAAGTGCAAGCCAGGCTCCCTTCTGCTTCTTGGCTTTGTCTTTCCATGTGATCTCTTCCTTTCACACATATTTCCATCACTGTGGTACCACTCAACATGAGGTCCTTATCAGAGTAAAACTTATGCTGGAGCTTTGCCCTTGAACCTCTGAAACTGTGAAAATATATATTTTATGTAACATAAATATTATATATAAACATATACATATATATGTATATACTTAGGCATTTTGTTATAACAATAGATAACTACCTAACACAACTATCTTATTTTGTTACTTAAATTAGTCCAGCTTCTGAGACTGGAAGAGGAGGTCATTTCTGAGCGAAGACCTAAGAGAAATGAGGGAGCCAGGCACAAAGCTATCTAGG